AATAACAGGTTAATTTTATATTACAGTAAGAGGTGCAACTGAAAAATGCACAAGTTGCACTACCTGTCCTGCATCGTAGGTGATATCTTTTGCATATGTGTGATTAGTCTCAACATAAAATGTGAACTAGTGCACATCTAGGGAGAAGTAACTTTTCACTTTCCTGCTGCACGGAAAGAGAGCTTAAGTTTTAACAAATTAAGAATATTCTGAGTTTGTGTTTATTGTGCGTAAGTACAGAATTATAAATTCCCTCTACTGGTTCTGAATACATATATCCTGTAATACAAGAACAGGACCACCAGATAATTAGCAGAGCAACCACAGTGAGCTGCAAAGAGGGAGTAACCTCCATAGGATACAGAATGGAGAATTCCTCCCAGGCAACTGGAGTGAAATTCTGTATCCGTTGAAGTCAATGGGAGTTTCGCCATTGACTTCACTGGAGCCAGGATTTCACCTTAGCTCCCTTACAGCAGAAAAGAAAAGCTAGCCTTTGACATGTCTTTGACTGCAATGATACTTTGACTACACAACAAAATTGAATCATTGTTTTACAGCAATGGGGCTCCCTGACTCTGTACTGGGTTTAAATCCTAGTGTCAGTCAAAACTGTTTAGTGTTTCAGAAAGTGGGAGTGAGATGCCACTTTCAGCTATAGTTGATGTTGTTAGTGTAGCCAGGGCTTCAGAGTCATGCCACACTGCAGACCCTATTTTCATGTTTGATCAGCAATATGCACACTCTGTGTCCTCCCTAGCATGGAATTCTCAAACACTTCAGTAAAATAAAGACAATTAGTAATGTTCTAAATGCATGCATACTACCCGTGTGATCCATTCATTCATTGCTGGAGCCCATGTCCCCCAGTGTCACAAGCGTACAGGATGTCCTGAATGCTAGAGCTTTTATTTAGCTGAAAGACAGTTGAAAATAGTCACTGGGCCAAATTCAGAGATGATGTGTAAGTTTGTAGTGATTTCACATCAATATGTAAGTATAAAGGAGTCCCTTTACACAGCGGAGCAAAAGATAATGTAGTGGTGGATACCTACTTTAATTTGCACTCTATTAGTTGCTCTTTCTGCTAAGTGCCTCTGTTCTATCCCCATAGCATCTAAATTATGCTAACCTATGGCTCTGTTACATTCATTCAGAATTAGTTGGACGCCCTTATGCCCACTTACAGATGTGAAACTTGAAATACTTTTTAAAGCACCTCTGAATTTATCCCCTTGTTGTGTCTCTAGGTCAATTTGCTTAAGAAATTAATATACTAACAACTGTGGATGTACTCTGCTAAATCCTTCTACTTTGGGTCATAATCACAACCTTTTGGAGGAAAACTACCCTCAGACTAACTGAGCAAGGACATGCAGAGTCAGGCAGGTTTTTTTCACATAGATGTGGTTCTGTATATAGTAGCTTATTTCAATACACTGCATCTGAAATCAGATTTAACATGCTGTTCATTCTGAACTGGAATTAATGCATTTTGATGGTTCATAGAAATGAGTCCATGACTAGCTAGAATGTCTAAAATTATTTTACTAAGTTGTGTATATTGTAACAAAAAATAGCCAAAATCATATGGGTTATATAGTCCTAAAGAGCTACCTCAACTCCAGTACAAAAAAACTATGCAGCTCTTTTGTGACATTGAGTGCTTTGTTTGACCAAGAAGAGTTAGATTGAGCTATACATAGTGGATACAAAAGCAGAGGTATACAGAACTGCATTAACAACTCATTCCCTCCCTAATGATGACTGGGACCCCAAACTCTGTCCCTTGAAGCTAAGTTCATTACTAAGCATCTTGATAAAGCCTTGACAGTGTGATAGCCTAGATCAATTCTGGATGGCTGCAGTTGTTCATTTAGTCACTTCAAGGAAGCCTTGGTGAAGTGACATAACAAGAGTATGTTAGCCAAGTAGCGGCCTTAATGGGTTTCTAGGCATGACCCAAGTCATTTAATTTGTTTAGTTTTAAATTTCCCATACTTTCATAGTTTTACTTAACTAATGTACTACAGCTTTGTAAATAAGCACCTAGATCCAATGGTGATAGGTGCTACATAAATCTATGAATGCACTTCCATTTCTAAAGTTCTTGCAACTGTAGCATCTGAATGCTCTTTACAGAGTTAGTACTCCATGGAGAGACTGTGTCCCTGACTGGGGATTATGAAGATACACATAAATATATCCTACAAGTAACCAGACTATGCAGATGCTGACAGTGAGACTGAGACAATAAGTTGAAGTAATGTATCTGCTTACATTGATGCCAGTATAAATTCTACTAATCTAAGGTACTGGATAAATTAAGTAGAACTTTGCCATGGAAGTCTGGAATAAATCTGTTCTCCCCACAATGCTGGATGTAGAGCATCTGCCCATGTTCAGTGAAAAGGGGCAGCATAGAAAGTGCATTTTGCTCAAATTATCTGGTACATGAGGCAGCAGCAGAAAAGCAGTTGATGAAAAGCAGTCCTAAAAGACAATTAATTAAATAAGATGATTTGATGATAGAATGAATTTGGGTATTAAATAAAGATGTCCAGAAATGGGTTGCGAAAGGTGAATTCTTCCTTCTGAATGAGTTTTTTCTCCCCTTCCCTGGCTCCCAATTGTTTACTGTATCAGGAGGTTCTTTCTTATTGATACTCCTGAGTTTTCTTAAGGTGATGGCTACTTCATACTGGAAGTTGTAGTGAGGGATCCCTTTGACTTTTGCCTGTTGAAATTCTTTTGGAATAGAAATGTTATAGAGGGCCTTTTTATTGTTTCAGAGTGAAAGAATTGAAAAAGGCCAAGGAACCTGAAGATACACAGCAGCATCCCGTAGCAATGTGACATTGCTTTTCAGACTGTTTTCATTTTCTGTTTTTAGCAGAGACATGCAACAACAACAAAAAACCCACTGCAGTTCTGGGAATCTCAGCTGCAGGATTTTAACAGTAATGTTTTGGTCATTGCATTTGCACTTTCATGGACAACTTTTAATTTGTTCAGCAAGACATCTTGGAACTCAATCTTCTGTTGGATCATGGGAAAAAAGACACCAGGAGGAATTTGTGAGTTGCTTCATTCTCTCCAAAAGAAGCGATTAATTATCCTTTTCATATAGGGCTGTATTAAAACGTGTGGAACTGTACAAATATTATACCAAAAATATTGTTAAGAAAAGGTGGGAATGCACAAGCAACACAAGAATGCTATTCCTGCACCTGTCAATCATCTCCAAGAAACTGAAGCTTCAAGAGTCAGTGGAGGGGCTTAGATCAGTAAATCTTTATTGGGTACATGCATTCTCATTTCCTTTGCACTTCTGTCCTTTCTTTTTATTTGAATCTCTCTACAGCACACTTAATGCAACTTTTTAAATCTGCAGGTTTTTAATACATCCCCTGGAAATTTACAGAGTGGGTTGGCATAAAAGGCAAACGGGTAATGCATGGGAAATAAAGAGAGCAGCTTGAGCAAGTTTTTAAAAGTTCCTTTTTTGGTATTTTTTCTAGAACCTGCAAGTATTTCAAGTGTCATGTACTTATTCTCATATTCAGCACTTTATTTTCTGGCCTTACTTTTAATTATTTACTTAAAATAGTTTGTAACGTATGTAGCGCTCTTTTTTTTTAAACAGTAATTTTGTTGTTCTGAGCAGTCACGTACATATGTTGCCTGGACATTTATACCACCTAAAGATCAGAGTGGTGCTCCATCCTGGCCAGTAAATTTCTTATTTTGGCTATTTCATCAAAATCTGGGCAGTTTCTGTATATATAGAAGGTAGAAATGGAAAATGAGAAATAATATTTGAAAGGGAATATATTGATTAATTACTAAATATTTTATTCACAAAGGGTCAATAACTTGGCAAGATAAAATTATTATTTGTATAGTTTTGTCTGAATGAGCGAAAAGAGTGTGGATGTATTGTTTGTACATATTGTATATATTAAAACAGAGATATGTGCATGAATTCAAGAAAAAAGAAATGAAAAAAGCAAAGCATTAGTGGCTATGGTCTGTAAAATGAAACAAAAACTTTATTTCACTATAAGAAACTTTATTTTAAATGTTCATTAGAAGAACATTTTGCTAAAGCATGACTAAACTGCAAAAAAAAAAGAGCTACTGTATTTAGACTTAGGAAAAAAGGCAGAGTAACTTTACTAAAAAAGGATATGTTTACATTTGATTTTGGCTACCGGGAGGTTTTTTTTATTTTATTTTATTTTAATTTTTTGCCAATGGTGCCAAGTAATGTGAATGCTAATATTGCTTAAGAAAATTAAGTTACTTTTGCAAAGCAGATAATCATAAGAATACAAAAACGTATCTAGCTTAACACCATACACTCACTCCAATAAAGAACACTTAGAATGAACATAAACTGAAAAAAGAAATAGTATGAAAGTAGAAAATATGTTTCACATTTTCATATCTCCTGCTGGAAGTCAGAAAATGTAATAAAAATGCACAAAAATTAAAAAAATAAAAAGTAAAACTTAAAAGATGCAAACTGGTCTTGTAGGGGTGTCATGGTATATTGCTATTTCCACATAGTGAGGAGCCAAAGAAATCAGATACTTTTAAAATTGAAATACTAATTAAAAATTGTCATGAAGTTTAGACGATAGGGGACTGATCTTAATTACACTAGTATATATCAGGAGTAAATCTCCTGAAGTCAGTGCAGTTACTCTGGATTTACACAAGTGTAGCTGAAATCAGAAATTGCTTCTGTGACTTTATGTTGCTAGTACCAGTTTAAAATTTCCAAATGGTTGGTGTAAATTTTACATGGTTAGTTTTGGAATAGTTGCTCTTACTTGATCCTGGCCACCAACTAAAATGTTTAAACTCCAGGCTTTTTGTGAAGCCTAAAAATATTCACAAATGAGAAGCTTTTAAACTGGTGTCTTTAAAAGAAGGGTAAACACAAAGATTGTGGCAAAAAACTTGGGTCAGTGCTCTTGGTGCCTTTTCTATAATTGTACCTGGTTTTTAATTACTTCCTTTCACTGCCAGCATTGAATTACAATATATGTGCTATATAGCTCTTTATCAGAACTCTGTACATTTGTGAACTGCTGCTTTATGACCTGATTCAATAAAAAAAATTGTCTGGCTCCCACACTGTGGCTGTGGCAGCCTCATAATCTCCATATATTTTATTGAAATGGAACCTTATACATTAACTATTCCACACACAAATAATCGGAACAGAATTTGAAAATAAACTCCTTTGGAATGAACTGGAATGCTCTGTATTAATACTGGAAATACTCTGACATTTTGAAATATAAATGTTTGTCCCATTGACTGGCATTATGACAAATATAATTGATCTTTTCCTAACAAGAGTAGTGACCTCAGTGGAAACATTTTAACCCGTTATATTTGTACTTAAATTTTCAGTAAAATACAGAGCTATTTCAAGTTACCCTTCCAGATCCATGGGCCTGGTGGTGTATCTACTGATAAAGACCTTGATACAGCAAAATATTTACACACATGCTTAATGTTAGCCATATGAGTAGTTCTTTAACTTAATGGGACTACTCACATGCTTAAAGTTAAGTATACCCTTAAGTACTTTGCTGAACACGGTTGTAACCTTTCAGTGAATGTGACCACTAAAAATGCTCCCCCATTGAAAAAGCTTTTTTGCTTACCCCTTTCTTGACTGTGGAACTTATTTCTGATAGAAGATAACGTAAGTGCAGCTTTCTTGGATAATCGGGATTCCCAAGTGCCAGGAGCAGGACCTCCTTCTGCCTCCTGAATATGGAATTGCTCCTTTGTGTAACACGTTTGACATAAGTAATACTGTGTGAAAGAAATAAAGACTATAACATGACCTCCCTATGTGGTTGCACGCTTACAGCAGTTCCACACAGTAGTTGGTGCCCAACAGGGGGTCCCCAGGACTTGCATGTAAAATTAGTATAGGTGTCTCTTTTTTGTAAGTTTTATTTTTGTAACTGTGCATGTAAAGCATCACTGGATCAATGGATCTGTTGAAGAACTCAGCTGCTGGAACCATGCAAAATGTTTTGAATTGCCCTTAAAATATGGAAAATGTTTTCTGAATGCTTTATATTCTTTCTGCTGTAAATTAAAAACAAAAAATTTCCCCATACTAAGTGTATTTCTTTTAACATTTTCTCTTCCATTTTAATCAAGAAGGAGCTGAAGATTCCTCAAGTAATTATATATATCCTTGTAAAGTATGGATCTGTGTCACACATTTAGAAGACCTACTTGTAAACTCACATAGTCTCTTAACTGACTGAATTTCAAAGGCAGACATAATTTTTAAAACAAATTCTGCTTCTAGTGTGTGTACAGCTCCCATTGGACTCAATGGGATCCATGTACTCATGTGAGAGGAGCATGTGGTCCTTAAAATCTATAGTTAACAACTATTTCAAAAGAGGGAAGCTAGGAAATAGGAAACACATTTATCTCATCAAAATTATCAATAAGAGAAAAACTTGAAGTCACTTGGACCTCTCAGCCTGGGTACTGATGATGTACATTATATAGTCACAGGCCTGACCCTCTTTTCTGTGGTTTTTAATGTATGCTCTTCATCAGGCATATTTCATAGAAGGGACCAAAATAAGTTCTAGACCACATCTTTTAGAAAAACATCCAATCTTGATTTTAAAATGGTCAGAGATGGAGAATCCACCACAACCCTTAGTAAATTGTTCCAGTACATTTCAGAGCTATATTTGCACTTCAAGTAGTAAAACTGACTTAGCCTTCAGATTCAGGCCTTCATGATAACCCCAAAGTGTATTATAATTACTCAGAAATGCACTGCCTATCACAGCTTATTGTTTTAGTTTAAGACATTCGAAGTTCAGCTCAGAGACCCTCATCATAGTGTTCTGCACCTACCACATGGGAGACTCAGGTACGACTCAGTGGTTCCGGTGTCTTGCTTCTGAGTCTGGCAGCAGGAGGCAAATGCTATGTGAGGCTCATTTTCCTCTGGGATAAGGAAAGAAAAAAAGGGAAAAGAAATGTTCTTATGACAGTTAAACCAGATTTTACAGCGGAAAGGTAACCAGTTTCTCTGACTCTGGGCTCCCCTCTTGTTCACGTCACAAATGACAATTTTTAGCAAGGTGGATGCAATTCACAGAAGCTTAGAAAATCCAACTGTATTTAAATTTGTGGGGCAAATTCCTCCCCTCTCTAGCTCAGTGGTGGACAACCTGTGGTCCATATGGGTAATGCGGCCACTGGGAGCTGCGGGCGGCAATCTAACCACTGTCTGGTTGCCCACCACTGCTCTAGCTCCTCTAAAGCTAATAAAATTCAGCGGCGCCTTATGCTGAGATTAGAATCTGTCATAATTTAAATACTTCACAAAATGCCTGGAATAAATCATCAAACAAATACATTTGTGAATTATTTGGCCAAACGTGTAAGATGACAGAATACCAGTAAAAAAGATGTCTAATGTTTTTGGAAAATAACTCAAAATTGAGCAAATAAATTATTCAGCTTATATTATGATAAATTCCACTAGGGATTAATTTGGCCATTTTTCCCGAGTATCAGAGTCGTACTGAGAAGTGCAATTCTGTGTGCACTTACAAAATGCTGACCAGGGGAATAGTGAGTTTTCCATTAAACAACAGTGCTCCTCAGAAAAAAGCAATGAAATGTTATATCCAGGAAGATTATAAATGCACAATTTTTATAACTGAACAAAATTAAACAGAAAAAAGTAGAACACAAGAAAGTAGGAAGAAATTTGACCAGCACTTATCTCAATCCTGATCGAGACCTCTAGACGCAACTGTAACACAAATATATAATAAAATATATTTCATCTAGCTATTTTCAACTTTCTGAGAGCACAATACTTTCTGTACTTCTTAAATAAGGTACTTTCTGTGAGGGCAGAAACTAAGTCCCAAGTTTCCAACAGAATCCATGAGGTAGTGTCTAATAAATTCCAAAACTCTACATAGAGGAACAGAATAAAAAGTAATTTTAAAAGTTCCGTGAGGCCTTTAGAAACAAAATCCAAAAAATCTGAATACTGCGTACAGATGTGGTCTCCTCATCTCAAAAAAGATATACTGGCATTAGAAAAGGTTCAGAGAAGGGCAACTAAAATGATTAGGGGTTTGGAACGGGTCCTGTATGAGAAGAGATTAAAGAGGCTAGGACTTTTCAGCTTGGAAAAGAGAAGACTAAGGGGGGATATGATAGAGGTACATAAAATCATGAGTGATGTGGAGAAAGTGAATAAGGAAACGTTATTTACTTGTTCCCATAATATAAGAACTAGGGCCACCAGATGAAATTAATGGGCAGCAGGTTTAAAACAAATAAAAGAAAGTTCTTCTTCACACAGCGCACAGTCAACTTGTGGAACTCCTTGCCTGAGAAGGTTGTGAAGGCTATAACAGGGTTTAAAAGTGAACTGGATAAATTCATTGAGGTTAAGTCCATTAATGGCTATTAGCCAGAATGGGTAAGGAATGGTGTCCCTAGCCTCTGTTTGTCAGAGGGTGAAGATGGGTGGGAGGAGAGAGATCACTTGATCATTACCTGTTAGGGTCATTCCCTCTGGGGCACCTTGCATTGGCCACTGTCAGTAGACAGGATACTGGGCTGGATGGACCTTTGGTCTGACCCAGTATGGCCATTCTTATGTTCTTAAGTCACATTTAATAACAATGCAGAATTAATTTCTGGTTAATGCATTTAACAGGCATATAAATGGCTTTGAACCAGAGCTGGATACTGTTGTAATATAGTAAATAATTTATCCTGTCTTTATAAAGCTATTAGAGCACACACACACAAAATCTATCTGTTGTGTAAAAGTGTGTGTCATTAATCTCATGATTAACCCATTCAACATATAATAGTAATCAGAGTAAGAACAGTTCCAGGTCAGAGTGTGGCATTTGGATTCTACATTTACCAACCATCATAGGGGGAATGCAGGGTCCAGTCATGTCCATAATAGTAAAGAAAGCTTTGCCATTAACATCACCAGAAACAGGAGCAGGCCCTTAATGATGCAGTGAATGGGACTTAGGTACCTTTGAATATTTTACCCCATTACAATCCATATCCAGCACAAAAATGTAGAGGTCAATAATAAAAGCTACAATTAGTTTGTCCCAGAAAGTGAGTGAGTGAAAGTCCCACCCTCATCCCTCACTTCCTTAGCTGACAGTCTGTGTTCACTCTGGGGAATTGCACAGTCAAACTCATGAGTGGTAGCTGGACTCCCTTAGTCAGCACCCACCAATTTTTTGAGGTAGTGGCCTGAAGTTGAGGGATGCCACACGCCCTTCAGCTAAAATCAGAATTTGATTTTATGTTGCTATTTGCCTATTGCGGTTAGCTTCAAAACACTTTAGAAAGTCAGTGACAAAACAGGAGTGTATCAGCAACTTGCCTGGCTATGCTCCAGATTTTGTGTGTCATTTCACCTGTCTGTCCCTTAGTCTCTTCAGCTATAAAACAAGGGTGATAATACTGTGCAATGGGTGTTGAAGCTTACTCAATTAGGTATAAAGCACTTTTGGATCCCCAGATAGAAGGTAGACAGGAAACAAAAAAATCTTTGCTTACTCATGCTGTGCACTAGCCTTCTCTATGGAACTGTTCTCTTACTGATGTTGCCCCATCCTTCCTCCTCTACCATTCTCTTATTAACATCTCCTTGTGTCATGTTAAAAATTAGTCTGTAAGCTCCTTGGGGCAGGAATCATATCTTTTGACTGAATTAAGAGGTGCCTAATACACTAGTAGGTGCTGTCAAAATAAATAATGGTGATTCTGTGCTCAGCCAATCTCTCAGCCTCATATAATACCTAGAATATTAGCTTTCTTGAGTGAAGAATTAGGGGCCAGTATCCCAGAGTTATCACTTACTCTTTCTAAAAAAAATGACTGAACAAACCAGCTCAAATAGACAACAACAAAAAAGCACCCACATTGCTTTACTGTCTGGTTTAAATAACCTAGTAATGAAAAGCTTACAGTGAAGTCAAAAGCTTGATAGAATGCAAAAAAACAAACTGATAAAAGAGCATGGAAAATCCTGAAGTTATATGTTTCAGGGATCACAAAATCATAGAAACGTAGGACTGGAAAGGACCTCGAGAAGTCATCAAGTCCAGTCCCCTGCGTTGTGGCAGGACCAAGTAAATCTTTTAGACCATCCCTGACAGATGTTTCCAGATGTTTACCCTAATAGTCAGAAAGTTTTTCCTAACATCTAATCTAAATCTCCTTTGCTGCAAACTAAGCCCATTACTTTTTGTCCTACCTTCAGTGGAGCTGGAGATTGATTACTGTCCTCTTTATAGCATGCCGTAACATACTGGAAGCCTATTACCAGGTTTCCCCCCTCCCCCCCCCCAGTCTTCTTTTCTCAAGACTAAACGTGCCCAGTTGTTGTTGTTTTTTTAATCTTTTTCTAATAGGGGAGGTTTTCTAAACCTTTTATCATTTTTGTTGCTGTCCTCTGGATGCTTTCCAGTTTTGTCCACATCTTTCCTAAATTATAGTGCCTGGAATTGGACACAATACTCCAACTGGGGCCTCAGCAGTGCTGAGTAGAGCAGGAAAATTACCTCCTGTATCTTACATACAACACTCCTGTTAATACACCCCAGAATCATATTAGCCTTTTTGCAGCTGGATCATATTGACAACATATTCAGTTTGTGGTCCACTATAACCCCCAGATCCTTTTCAGCAGTACTACCACCTAGACAGTTATTCCCCATTTTGTAGTTGTGCATATAGGATAGGATGTGCTCTTAGAATGTAAAAGTCTTCTTTTGACTGCAACCAAGATTGAAGTCCTGTCAGCACCCTTTCTTGTAAGGTGAGTGATTACTCAGTTACATGAACTGGGATAAAAAGAAGAACAGGAGTACTTGTGGCACCTTAGAGACTAACAAATTTATTAGAGCATAAATTTGTTAGTCTCTAAGGTGCCACAAGTACTCCTGTTCTTCTTTTTACGGATACAGACTAACACGGCTGTTACTCTGAAACCTGTCATGAACTGGGATGAATCTTAGTCCAGTAGGCTAGCCTAGCATTTATAGGCACATCCAATCATTTGGAATGACTAAATAAATAGATACAGTAGATCAAGAGAAGAGTTAGCTCTGAATTAGACAGTTGGCAAAGAATAATTCATATGATGAATTAACACAGTGGGAAAGCTTCAGCCAGTAGCCTGGAATGAAGACAGATGCCTACCTACAGCACAAGCATCATGAACAATCTCTTCATTTGCTGTTTTGAGAAGATTCAGGTCAGGAGAGAAAATTCTGCTGTTGTGACTCGTCAGTTACTAGTGCTTTCTTTAGAGGCATGTCCACTAGCAGCTGCCGTACTTGGAGAGGATGGAGTCTGGGCCTGACTTCTGGAAATAAGAGAGGTAAGAGAATGGTTTAGGCATCAACATGATGTAAGGTTCAGATGCATAGCTGTGCAAAGGCCAGTGTCACTGTAGCATAACTCTGTCCCCCTCTATGCCCATGAGGCCTCACTCCAACTGTTGGCACTTCCTAGTAGCCACTCCTCAGAAATGACCTGGATCCGCTGGATGGAAGATGTCAAGCCTGGCCTCCGGTAGCAGGTATGGAGGGATTCAGGTTGCCCTGCTGTGGCTCTCAGTCCCCCCTCCCCACCACCCAGAGTAACTTTTATAGCCCTAGGCAAAAGCCATTTATGGATTATGGAGACTGCCCGATAGGCCAAGCACCCAGAGAATGCTGAAAAGAGGCAATAGGTGCGACATGGCACTTTGGAACTAACTCAGTATGGATTTATTTTCAGAGCGCCAGAGAGTGACAGGTTTCTCACAGGGACATGCAGAAATCCACCCTGCCACAAAAATACACAGTCACCTGCCCTGGAAACCTGCAGCACCCTGTCCCTAGGGAGGCACAGGTACCTGCCCTCCAACCTGCCCCCCTCCCCAGGGACACACAGGAACCTGCCCCCCAACCTGCCCACTCCCCAGGGACACACAGGAACCTGCCCCCCAACCTGCCCCCTCCCACAGGAACACACAGGAACCTGCCCCCTCCCACAGGAACACCCAGGTACCTGCCCTCCAACCTGCCCCCCTCCCCAGGGACACACAGGAACCTGCCCCCCAACCTGCCCCCCTCCCTCCCACAGGAACACCCAGGAACCTGCCCCCCTCCTCAGGGACACAGAGGCACCTGCCCCCTACGCCCCGCCCCAACACACCTCGCACCTCCCCCAAGCAGAAGGCGGCCGGCAGAAGCGAGCGCGCCGTTACTCAGCCGGGCGCGCGACGCGCGGGAACAGGCGGTGTGGGCGGGGCCTGGCCTGGCCCCGCCCCTGGCCCGTCACATCCCCGCAGCAGACTGCGCGAGTTGCGGTGGTTTCCGGTTCAGGGCTAGTTGCGCCGCTTCGTCTTGTGCTGCCGGACAGTTCCCCCAGCCCCCCTCGGAGCCTCGGACAGCCGCCGCCATGTGAGTGCGGGTCCCGGAGCGGCTCAGCGCCAGCTGCCGTCGGGCCGGGCCGGGCCTGCAGGGAGCTCGGGGGCTCGGACAGCGGGAGCTGCCCGGGCGGGAGGCTGCGGGCGCCGGGTGGGCCTGGGGGCGCGGCGCCGCGCCGGGGGCGCGAGCGGGCGGCTGCGGCGGAGGGGGAAGCCGCTAGTGTCCCCGCGACAGGCCAGGCCTGAGCGTGTCCCTGGGCCGCTGCTCAGTGCACGAACCTGGACCTGGGCCGGGCAGGGTGTGGCCGGGCACAACGGTCCCGTTCTGCACCGTGGGGGCAGAGCCGTGGTAGCCCGCGGCGTTGCCCGCTCCCGCGCTGCTGGCCGGTGTCTCAGCACAAAGTGCTGCCCTCCCCTTTTGCTACTGGGAGCGGTTTCTGCCACGCAGCGTAGCAGTTTGGTAAACTGTTTGTTAACTTGCTACCGCCTGTCCATG